TTAACAATGTTGTATATAAGTAAGGACCCGGGGATAGCGCAGTCGGTATAGCCACTCGCTACGGCCTGGACGACCGAGGGGTCGGAGTTCCAGTCCCGGTAGGATCAACAATTTTCTTCTACATGTCGTCCAGACCGGCTCTGGGGTCCACCTAACCTCCTATACAATGGGTAGCGGGGGCTCTTTCTCCGGGGGTAAAGCGGCAGGGGCGTGAAGCTTACCACTCAGCTCCAAATAGTGCCGAGGTCAAGAAAATGTGGATCTATACATCCACTTCATAGCGTAGTGCTTAATTATTTAAGCTCAGGGACAACTTTACTATTACCTACATTTAATTTACATAAGAATGAAAATCTCACAAATTTTGAAAATCTGAGATCATGTTAACTTTTCATTCGAAGTTTTCGAGTAATGTCAAGCAGCGAATGGGCGTGTTTTTTTCTTTTTCACATATCAAAAGTTCGCTATAAATACAAGTCGGTACCTAACAACCTTAACATGAGGCTTAAAATTTCACAGGATTAACGTGCCATGGGTGAGGAAAAGGAATGCTTAGTTTGTTTCTTAAATAAATCCCAGTCCTTTGAAATGTACTCCTAACGACACTCATAGGCGTACACGCGAGTCTTCCCGCAGACTTACAGCTCCTCGGCGTCCCTTCGCTCATCTTACTTTCGTTCGCAATCTGCTCTTCCTTCTCTTCTTCGCATTCTGCATGAGACACGGAAATAACGACTAGCAAGATGGCCGCGTGCGCTGCAAGTATCATTATCACCATTAGAGCTGCAGATCCTGAAGCAACCTTCAAAACAAACCTTTTATCAAAGAAAGCGGTCTTCTGGGATATGGCGCCGTGTAGATATTGTATTAACCGAAGTTTCGGAGGAACGTATCGCCTCCATCTTCAGGGTAGAAGAAAAAATAAGAAAAATCCGCGAGCGAGGAACCAGCGTGAGCATTCCTGCTTCACATTCCTGAGGCTCCCGATTCATATCTCCGCCAAGACACCGGCTATCTTCACATGAGAGTTTCGTTATTTTCCCCAGTTCCTTCGAGTTAATTGCTCCAACCAAGTAACGACCGCTTCTTAGCACGTCCTTTCAAATATCGCTAAACGCTATACAATACGAGGCATCAATAAATTAATGAAGAATAAATAAGAAACGACAAATAAAATCTCCAATATTAGAACCGGAAGTTTCAACAGTTCTGTCTGTCGGAAAGCAAATGGAGGGCAACAGACACAACAAACCTCGAGGGCCAGGTCACACGAAACGAGTGACGGCTCTCACAACACGGCACATCTACGCCCTGTCTCGTCACCTTCATCTCTTGTTATTCTTCCGTCAACTGTTAGTCACGCGGGCCGACGTTACCCAGACGTCAGCAGATCAAGAGAATATGAACCTCATTTTCAGCTTCCTGCGGGTTTCCTGGCTACAGAGACCAGATACGTGTACTGGACGACCCGGGATCCATACCCGACAAGGGTAAGGTTTTTCTCTTCTTCATAGCGTCCAGACCGGCTCTGGGGCCCAGCCAGCCTCCTATCCATTGTGTACCGGGCGCTCTTACCCGGGTGTAAAGCTACCAGGGCGTGAAGCTGATCGCTCGCCACGATCTAGTGCCGAGGTCAGAAATGGTTGAGCTAAACCTTCATTCCCCTATATGTCTTCATGGAATTCCGCTTAATTAGTTACACATATGGACAACTTTACTATTTAGCTTTACCTGTTAATCAAATCCAATATATCAATTTAGTTTAAATTGTACAACACGCTTTCTAGAAGCCTACATGGGCAGTAGACCTGCCCAAAGAATCCCGGAACGATCATTGTTATTTTTAGCCGCCTCTCCTTGCTTGGAAGAAAGTACCAGCCTTATGAGATCACCAAACCGCCTACAGTCCACCTGTCTCTGTTAACCATCGAAGCAAGTGAAAAATTTGGTACAAAAATTTACTATTGACGTCATGTGCCATTGAAGGTCATTCCAGCTTCATGAAGTCGGTGATAACAACATGGCGGACGCATGAACATGTGGGATGGGAGCGGCACTTGAGATAGGATCCTGAACTGACGACGTATGGCAGCAGGCCTACGTATCTCGCTTGGTTGAACGTAAAATATAATGGCCCCTGTAAGAAACCTATAATTATCATTCGGTCTGGTGGCGATTATTAACTAACCACTGGAGCTGGCCATGTGAAATTTGTTGTAATAATACCACCGAATTCTGTATGAAGTGCCACTTATAAGTCAATGTTTGACACACGACGATTGTGAAAATTCTGAGGTTATGTTCGACAAATTTAACTCGAGGTCATACATAACAGAAGTAGTAGTCTGCTTGTACCGGTTCGCTTGCGGATTTTTTATTTTTCCTTCTACCCTGAAGATGGAGGCGATACGTTCCTTCGAAACGTCGGTTAACACCACATCTATACGGTGCCACATCCCAGAAGACTGCTTTCTTCATAGTCACCGCCGTGAAAACCTCAAATCTTACATGTAAGGGTCTTGCCCAAGCCGCCACTGACATAGGGACAAATGAGAATTACGGATCGTCTACATGGGACATTTCCATTCTCTATCACCAAGAGATGCGAACGTGGTCCAATAAACGATCTGGCACAGTGCCGAGCTGAACTCCTGCATGTTCATTAGATGTGGCATTCACTGACATCTGAAAGACATTTCCCAGAAAAAGGACTAAAATGTTTCATGTAATTGTTTGAACGTGGCGATATTTACGAGTTTTCTATTTCTTTCACCACCACCCTCACTTTTATGGCTGCTTACTAATTTATTGCAACTGAGTCCTTCTTCAGAAGCCAACGGTCGCTCAGCTACTAGAGAATTTCACAATATTTTATAAAACCGAAGGCTCATCACCTGTTCACAAGACACTTCCAAGGACCCCTATCGTAAATCAGATGAATCAAGTCCATACCACTCCATCCTATATCTCCCACATCCATTTTAATATTATCTTCCGCCCTACGTCTAGGTCTTCCTAGTCGTCATTTTCCTTCTGACTTCCCCACCAAAACCCTACATGCATTACTCTTCTCTCCCATGAGTTCCACACGTCCTGCCCATCTCATTCTAATTATATTTGGCGAAGAACACAAGTAATTAAGTGAGCCGGGACAGCGTAGTCTGTATAGCGACGGGCTGGGCGTTAGAGTCCTGGTGGGGGCAAATAATTTACTTCTCCATGTCGTCAGACCGGCTCTGGGGTCCACCCAACCTCCTACCCAATGGGTACCGGGGGCTCTATCCCCGGGTGTAAAGCGGAAGGGGCGTGAAGCTGACCACTCACCTCCAGCTATTACCGAGGTCAAGAAAGTGTGGATCTATAAATCGGCTCCCCCATACGCCTTCATGGCGTCGTCCTTAATTTGTTAAATATTGGGGAAGCTTTACATTTTAGAGGAAATTGAGCTCCTTATTATGCTCAAGTACGGGGCCTTACGTGACATTTCGTAACAAACTGTTTCTTACGTTACGTTGTTAGCCCCACGCCCAAGCAACCAAGCAGGAGGGCTACCCCTTGTCGGCTGTCTACGGCTACTTATTCGATATATTCGCAGCTCCCCCCCCCATACCTGGAGGTCGTCTCCTCCGTCCACAACCTGAGGACGCGTCATGCCCTGGTGACATGGACCTACTTAACTTGGCCATTATCACTACCACTGAATAGTACAATTTGAGTTCAAGGAATTACACAGACAGAAATCAGAAGGAGAAGGAGGAGGAGAAGAAGAAGTCAGAAGTAAGGTCTCTAATTTATGCGGTGCAGTTACTGTAACCTTTAGCGGCCTCCGTAGTCTAGAGGTAACGTTCCCACCTCATGACTCGTAGTACGCGGGTTCAAATACCCGGCGGAGGTCGTCGAATTTTTAAGGGCGGAAAAATTCAGGGAACAAGTCCTCCGGGAGGGACTTTAAGCCGTGGGTCCCGTGTCGTAGCTTTACGGCACGTAAAAAAAAACTTATCTCCAAAGGAGGTCACTGAGCCAAATTATGGACGTTTCCCGCCCAACAGCAGTCTCTAATACCTCTGGTAGATGGGGGAAGCATTATAGATACCTCTCAGCTAGTAGAGCCGGTCTCGCTGGCTGGGCGGGACTGATGGTAAGCACCAGTACCGGTAGGATATAGAGACTGTTAGAAATCATAGAGGGAAGCACAATGGACCAATACAGGTCTAAGTGCATGGGGAAACCCACCCTCTCCAACAACTAACTAGCTACTGTAACCTTTAGTGTTACCACTGTTCGCAGTTACGAAGTGTTGTAGTTACAGTAAGACTGTATTATAACTAACCGTAGTTCCACCTGGTGAATATCCAATAAATCGATTCATCTAATCTGGAACCTATTAATTACTTGTCGCGTTACCAGAACACATGACAATATGTTCTTCCGAAACGTCGGTTGACTTTCAACGAACTACACGGCGTTATATCCCAGAAGACAGAACACTTCATATCCCTGCTTCGGGAGCCTCAAATTTAGGTTGAGCTGACAGCGTCGTTAAACAAACAACAGGAAATTCTCGACATAATATTGGTATTTCGACCCACTGATTTTCTTAATGTACATATTATCGTCCTGGAGCCCAACATCAGTCTCATTAGAATCACAGGTGCGTAGCGGGATGCAGAATTACAGGAACATGCGCGTACACTACAGGAATGTCATTTGAACAACAAGGGATGCATTTATCTTGAAGGAACAGACCAGCTAACTTCTACTGGATCTCAGCTGTACAGTGCCAGCTTTATCTTTACATAAAGGGAGTGCAACTTGCAGCGACATCCATCCTCAAAATTCGCTCATCGGTTTTCGACAAATCTCATTAATGATTCAACCGGTGGCGTCAAGTTTGTTTGAACTGTGATGAAGGGTAAGATAACAAGTAACATGCCTTCACCTTGTAGCAAACAGCCTGTCGTGCACTCAAAGCGTTACTGTTTGCAGAAAGTGTCACTTACCTTATCAGCCCCACGAACGCAACCTGAAACACAGGAAAGTAGCTTTATAAACTCGTGTACATTACACCTCGACGTTCTCAAGTGTGACAAAGTCACATAGAGGTCGTCATGAGCAGAAAACTCATAGACTGAAATGGATTAAAAGTAAAAAGTAGGAAAAGGTCCATGCTTTACAAAAATCAGAATCTAAATTGCAGCGTTACAACCCCATAATACACGTCTTTAACAAAGACAACAACACCGTGGCTTTAGGCCGCAAGCCAACTACATCGACCGAGCGACCGTCGCTTGTCAGTGAAGTTAGTGCCAACTTTAGCGGATAGAGGTTGTCGCGTGGTCAGCGTAACGGATCCCCACAGCAGTTTATTTCGGTTTTCTAGACCGGAGCATCTATTTCCTTGAACTATCTCCTAAATTATCCTCACGAGGCTGAGTGGACCCCGTTCCAGACCCACTACTTCTCAGAAAATCTGGTAACGCCGGGACTCGAACCCGGACCTCTGGATCTGTAGCCAGGAACTCTTACCACTTGACCACAGAGGCGGTCACGTCATTACAGAGCAATATTCAGTATCATTATGAATATAGAAGCGAGTCTCGTATAACTTGTTGAAAATAGCATCTGAAATGTCTCTATTTATTTTTTATTTTATTTAACGATGACGTATTAATACAGAAGTTGTGAAACGTCCGATGAGTAATCACAAGAGGACTAAATGAACATCCGGTTGTTCTACGACGCTCTACGAAGTTCGGCGGTTACGTAGCGTCAACTAGGGAGTCGTTAGTGTAATTATGAAAGTCCATTTGGCAAGGTTGGCATAAGATATAGGGTGAATATTTCTCATCTTCGGTCATTCCATGATCCTGTATTAACCGTAAAGTTTATGGCTGAGGAAGCCCTGTGTATAACATTTCAATTTTATCTGTCTTTGCTAGTGCACGTATCAGATACAACTTGGCGTAGAACTAAAAAGATCCCATGAAACATTATGATAGTAAATAAATGTTGTGTATTTACATCTCCTTAAGCAGTATAATGTCCTGCGTTATGGAAATTCAATCCTAAATTAGGACTTAAATAATAAAAATGAACCCTAATCTCGGTGAGGGCTTTTCTCAAATTTTTACAGATTTATATCATGAATATTGAACTAGTAAGCCGATAACACCTTTAGAATTCAATGTCTGTTACGCGATGCATTTCTAAAACACATTTACCGTATAAAGATTCCAATTCTGTATATATATAATAAACTGTTATTGGAGGCTCGTGATGTAGGTGTAGTAATATTAATATTAATTATTTAGTCGGTGCCTCATCTTACAAGGTATTGTCCGTTCTGTAGGGAATGTAAACAACGACTGTGCCGTTTTTATACATAAAATATAGAACACACCGATTTGTCCATGGGAACGAAACAAAATCACAAAACCAACGACTGACTCGATGATGTAAAGCATCAATTGGAGAATTTTATTCTTGTTTTATATAATATAATTTATTGTATTTTAGGTCAAGTATTTTAATATAATTGTATCCAATTTTATTAGTACTGTAGTTCAGTGGTGTATATATGTTAGCCATGTATTTGCCTGATGATGGCTATTAATGGCCGAAACAGGTAGCAGAGCCAAAACCAGGCACTGGCCTTGATATTTGTTGTGTTGTGACGGTCTTAATAAAGAAGTTATGTGTCTTGTAAACTCCAGGCTCAACCACAATCCTACTTGTCCAGATGTCTCGACACGCCTTGTTTCTTATTCCTGGAAGATTTTGCAGGAATCACTTCATATTCTCTCTCTGTGTATGTATATCTCTCGTTCTTGGTTTCTGCCTTCTTCCCACTGGGCCACTTATCCTTCTTCTCGTTTGTACTCAGCTGTCTTCTGCACAGCTGCTTTCTGGGCCCACTGTTTGTTTCTTCGGTGGAGTATCCAGTTGAGGGACAGATATAAGAGCCGCAAATTTCATTTCTGGGCGTATACATAGAATTTAACTCTGCGATGGCGATATCACCATTTGCGCAGGCGCTGCCGTTGATGATGTCTCTTAAGCTACATAACTACATTTATTAGCTCTTTCTAAGGGGCCCAAATGAGTATGTGTCTTCCTCACATGAAGACGTAAATAGATCCAGTTTCCGAAACGTGGTGTTTTCTATTTCCTAGAATTTCGGACGATGGAAACAGTCCACAAACCCAGTAATTCTGTGTGTTATCCGCCATCGTCAGAACCCTTTAGAATCTACAGGAATATTGTTGCGTAGGCTGCCCCCAGTATACACATATATCCTATATATGACACAACGCGATGCATAGTATTAAGAAATGAAACAGTAAATCTTCTTCTAAAAAATTAAAAAATAACGGAGGTAATTATGTCTTTTGTATCTGAATCCACGTTTCTAGCTCCTGAGAGTCTTCGCCCGCTTCTTACGAAATACTGATCGACATATCACGGGACCTCAGAGTCATCTCAGACTTGATAAGCCTTTCCTCTCAGATTTCGAAACGTCCAGCCACATTATATCAAAGAGCCGTAAATACATCTGATGGTACTTCATGCACTGAATGAAGCCCAAAACCACATTCTCATCAAAAGAATTTCAGAATTTAAAGTGATGAGGGATGACCCCCTATGGCTTTCCTGGAAGAATATTTCTCAGAATATTACTCGTGAAGTGCCAAATGGACATTTATTGGATCAGAGAATGACACGGCAGGCTCGCTGATTGGAAGAGATGGAAAGCTTCAGAGGAAGAAAACTGATGATGCCACTAGCCAGTGGGATTCAAAGCAGGGGAAATGCTGGAGAGGAAACATTCGTTATCTCTGCTGACAATGAAGACATCGGCAATGGACGGCACAACACAATAAGACTGTGTTTTGTTACGGACGCACTGCGTCACCATCTTCTTTGTTGTAGCCAAGATTGGGATCTGCGACGAATCACGTAAGAACCGAAACATTTCGTATGAAAAAAATATTATAAAGGGTGTGGAGAGTACGAAGAACTGTACAGACTCTTTAAAGAGTGCAGCAGTTTATTACGTCATGTTCGTATTTATGGTGACCTAATAGTGTGACGCCGGTCACGGTAGCCGAGCGGTCTAAGACATGTACTGTCTTCGCTCGCTTGGAAACCGGGATCGTGGGTTCGAATCCCACTCAGGGCATGGATGTATAGTTTGTGTGTGTACGTTTTTCTGTGTTTGTGTACAGGTAGAGGCCTTGCGACGAGCTGATCACCCGCCCAAGGAGTCCTACCGAATGTGTAAGATCTAGAAAAACCGAAGTGAACGGAGAAGTTAATGGAGGTAGGCCTAGGCCCACTGGGGCTGTAGTGCCAAGGGGGGGGGGAACCGGTCGCCTCAGACAGGTTCATGAGCACGAGGTGCGCCATTCTTTTTATGTGTCCATCCTTACGTCCGCGTTTTGCGTCTCTAATAATTCTGTGAGTGGACTTTTACTTTTCGCACAAATATAGGTACGCAGTAACACTCCACAAAACTGGACACTGAACGACAATAAGAGAGTGGGCGGGGAATGTAGCACACATGTTATGGGATGATAAATGCTTACAAGGTTTTAATGGGAAGAGCCAAAAGTGATAACTTTGAGACTTAAGCGTAGAAGGGAGGGTAATATTAAAATGGATTTGTAAGAGAACAATGTGAGTTTGATTCATCTGGCTCAGTAAAGCGATAACTCGTAATATCATATGAACACGATAATGGTGCCTCGGGTTCACAGTGACAGAATGAGTCGCACTCACAAAGCCGTGATTCTGAACTGACAGCCCTCAGCGCCAATATGGTATTGTACAATTATCCCTGGGCTTAAATAAATTAAACTCATCATGACCACATATGGGGGAGTACAGGTATAGCTGCTCCATTTTTAACCTCGGCAGTAGGTGGAGGTGTGTGGTCAGCTTCATGCTCCTACCGTCGTGAGACAGGGAAACAGCCCTCAGTACCCACCGTACAGAAGGCTGGGTGGATCCCATTACGGACAAGAGAAAACTCTCGTGGCCCTTCCGAGAATAGAACCCCGATCCCTCGATCGTCCAGTCCGTAACCTAGTCATTACAGCAACTGAGCTATCCCATAGGCAGAACTATTACTCACTCTGGCTTTCCACCGCGGCGGCCCGGGTTCAATCCCGGGTCTGGTCAAGTGGAATTTGTGGTGGACAAAGTAGCACTGGGGCAGGTTTTCTCCGAGTACTTCGGTTTCCACTGCCAATCTTCATTCCATCAAATGCTCCACAATCACCCTCACCTGTCATCTGGGGCTGGTACAATAGGCCAGAAGTGGCCGCAGTACAAGGGACTTAGTCCCACCCCACTAGCAATAATAAAATAAAAATAACTGTTCTCACTGGTCAAGAGCCTGGGTGGGCCTTAGAGTCGGCCTGGACGCTGTGGAGAAGATAAAATCTTGCCCCTACCGGGAAACGAACCCCCGCCGTCCAGCCCGTAGCCCATCGTTATACCGATTGAGTTATCCCGCCTCTTTTTAGTTAATTAGTTAGTTAATTGCTTGGTTGGTTGAGTTCGTCAGTCAGTCATTTCATTATGGAGTATGGCGCCGTGTAGTCTGACGCGCAGATATCAATGTGGAGCACTTTCCCCCGAAACACAGGATGTAAACTGCCAGAAGACCGTGCACTCATTACACTGAGAACAGCAGTCCGGACCAAAATAAAGATGACACAAAGCGTGGACGCCGGGCACGAGCGAAATGGATGCCGGTGTGCCCACGCGGAAATAAATAATGTTTGTAATCCGCCTTCATCTGGGAGCAAAACGAGACTTTTAAAACTTTACTGAACATCAAGACCAAGCCCCAAAAGTCAAAACGCAGCGAGTCTCATAACTCAGTGTCGGGAGACAAAAATATTGTCATGGGTCCCGCGAGGGAGCCGGGAAAACACAGTAGGTATAGCGACTAGCTACGGGCTGGACGACCAAGGGATCGGAGTTCGACTTCCATTAGGAGTGAGATTTTTCTCCTCT